GGAAAACTGAGCGCCTGAGAGTGTCAGGGGCACATGTGCTGAACGCTCCACCAGGATAACTTGGGAGCAATCTGAAACTGTTGCCTCTGTTTTAATTAAGCGGTGGAAGCTTTTTCAGAGGTCAACTAAATGAGCTTTTAACTACACCCACTGACACGCAGTTTTCTGATGCTGGCTTGTTGATAACAGCATCGTAGGATGCTTACCAAAAAATGAGGATGCGTTGAGGGGAAGGTTTATAAGGCAGATAGAGATAAGAAAAAGAAAGCAAGTTTATGTAGCACCGATCCCCTGCCTCCCTTTGTCTGTTCCTCCTGTTTGGATTGCACTCTGTAATTACAGAAGCTTTGAGGACCTTGTTAAGCCATCAGTCAGCACGTAGGTATGATGGTGATGTGGCTTTCCTTCTAGCTTTGCCTGTGTTGACATCTCACCTCAAAGTGCTACAAAATAATGTATTTGGACATCTGTTAACCCACCGTTGTTCTCCATGCTGTCCTTCAAGGCACTCATGGAGTCTGCTCAGCACTATTGATTTGATCTGATCACTGTATGCTGCGTTGCAAGCGACACAGAAAACACTTTGAAGTCTCATTTGAGATGCCAGAGTTACCAGACTGAGTGCATCTTTGCAACTCTGATCAGAACTGCAGTTTAAAGCATGTGGAAGGGATTTCATATGTTTTTGAAACAGTGAGATTAACAAATGTAGAGGGAAGGATGAAAGAATGAAGGTGCTGAGGTAGAACCACCTGGAACCGTTTTTTGCACCAACTTCAGCTAATAACTAATTCAATTTTGTAGGCAGTAAAATACAAAATACTGTCAAGCGAGTTCAGTTTTCATGTGCAGCAGCCTGACTGTGCTTGCAGCTGATGCCTTGGACACAGTTATTCACCACACGGTCCCGCCTGCACACATGCTTCTTTTAATATTCTCATCTTTCAGGCCATTGGTGGTGGTGTAATTGTGTGTGGGTTATTTTCTTGACTCATTTTGGGCCTTTTAGTAGCAACTGAACATTGCTTAAACACCACAGCCTACCTGAGTATTATTACTGACCATATCAATCCTTCTAGCAGGATAACACATTGAGTCACAAAGCTCAAATCATTTCAAACTGATGTCTTGAACAGTGCAGTGACTTCACTGAACTCAAATGGCCTCCACAGTTACCAGAGCTCAGTCTATCAGAGCACACATGTGATTCCAGGGAGTGTATTTCTAATTACGTAATTTCCCCCCACTGCTCCCCTACATCAGAACTTAGGGTTCAACCACAAGCAGAATTTCATGTCATATGCCCATCCTGACCTGACGTAAAGAGGATGACATACCTCTGGATGGAGAACAAAGCAAAACAAAAAACAATAGATGAAGATGGGAGGAGTAAGAATGAAGGAAAAATTAGAGAGGACAAAGACTGAATAGATAAACAAAGAAGAAGGGAGAGAAGTAATGTTCACCTACAGACAATTTAAAATCTCCTATTAACCTAACCTCAAGTACGTCTTTGGACTGGAGGGAAGCTGGAGCGCCCAGAGAGAACCCACACAGAAAGGCCCCAGCCTGGACTTTCTTGCTGTGTGGGAACAGTGCTAACCACGGCCCCACTGCACTACCTGGAAGTAATAAGGTTGATTAGAAATGTAAAAAAAGAAAAGGGAACCAAAGGAGAAAGTCAACAAAGACAGAGGGCAGTAGGTTTTAAGCAAAACTATTATAAATCAGGTTAGAGGGTCAGATGACAAAAAACCGAGTGTAGTGGTGGCACTCCGTCTCTATTTCACTCTTCTGTACCACCTTTAGGAGTCAGTCCGGCAACATGCATTTGAACGCGAGCAAGTCCAGGTACTTTTCTTGCGTAAAAGATGTTTATTGGAACTTTTCATTTACATGGCAAAACTCGGTCAAAAAAACTGTGTTGCTTCCAGCTTATCCGACTCCCCAACTACGGAATTACAGTGTGCCGGAAGCCCAAAATACTAAAAAGCGCATTAGAATGTTGCACTTCTATATTCTATGCCTTTAACAAAAAAAACACTTTGAAACCAACTAGAAATCACACTCCCAACATCAAACATGCATATCTCTCCTCCAATCATTTTACAAGTACCAATAAAATTAACCTTTAATTGGCTCTTACACCGAGGGAGCAAATTGGTGTTTGATGGATGGAAAGGAAGTTTAAAATGCTTTGGTCCAAATCAACAGAAAACATCCCCCCAAAAATTCTCTCGCGTGTTCAAACTTTGGAAACTGAAAGAGATGCAGAAATTGTATTGATTGCGGAAGCAGCTGGGAGACAGGTTGAAAACAAGAGATTGTCATGGAAAGAGGAGTGTTGCTTATTGCAACTTTTTAAATCTGCCTCCTCTTCGCTCAATTTCTCGAGACAGCCAAGGTAATTTAAATCGATTCTAAGTCCTTCCATTACAGACACACTGACAACAGTTTGGAGAGAGGGGAAATGGATTTTTCTGCTCATCTGTGAGCCAAGGCCAAATCTGAGGACTTCTACAGCGACGCTGTAACAAAGCACGCTGCTGCCAGCCAAGGCTCCTCCTTCACTTGACGTTTTTACCTCGCTGTATTGCTTTTGCTCCATAAAATCTGTCGACAGCTATTTTTTTTTATGATTTCAGGGTTTTGGTAAGACAATAATGGCCGTGGAGAGGGTGAGGCCCGACCTTCCATCTCACTTGGCATTTCCACGACCGAGAAAAGGAAAACAATGTTTGTGTGTTTGTATGATCCCACAGAGCAGAGCTACCTTGGCGGTTTTTAGAGCTTATGCATAAACATGTGTTCACAGCGCTTACAGGAACTGATATAACAATCAATTGACACACACACACACAGACTCACAGTTCTCATCTATCCACCGCTTGGTCGACAGATTCAAAGGCAGAAAATTGTAAATATTGAGCAACCCCTTGTCCCTGAAAAATGAAGTACAATAGCCGGAGGCAATTCATCCCACTATTGCTTTTTTATGAACTAATATGTTCATAGTTGCCGCTTCCAAATTACTCAATAAATATCCAATACTTCCTCAGAGGCGGCCTTGACCCTGTTGTCTGAAAAAACGCTTTTCACGAGTGGACGCTTTTCCCCCCCAACACGCTTAAACACTGAAAGCAGCTTCGGTAAAGTGGCAATTACCATGCTGACATCAATTCAGAAAGCACATAACAAACCTGCCCTGTTTCGAGAAAGCAAACTGGACAATTACAGAGGCAAATAAAGCCAGCCACCGACAGCGGGAAAATAAAACTCCCGCGGCATAATAATTCAGCTTAATTAAAGGAGCAGCCCATCCAAAGGGTCATTTACAACAACACCCCCGTGTCTCCCACCTCCGGAGGTATTAGCAGAGTTAAAAGCAGCGGGCTACACGATAGAAGTCGTCAGACTGACCTCCAAAGCTTCTTTCCCCCCTCATCTATATTTATATGAAGGAGCGGCACTAATTTTGCCCAGTAAATCAGTGTGCACATTCCGTTGTGACCTCCAGCTTGACACTGAATTAAACAATATCAGGGCTCAAGAAGCCCGCTTTAACAAGCCTTAAATTCCTCCGTCCAATCCATCAGCGGGGATATTTCTGACACACGGAGGGAAGAGCATGAAATAAGGCAATTATTGAACCCTTCAGCCCATTTTTACGGCTTGGCTGGCTGGCACGATGCAGCACAGAGCCTCAGAGCTCCAAGTTTGTGCTGTGAGATGACTCTTAGCGATAGGGATGCTAAGAATTAATACAGTGAAAAGAAATTTCAGTAGTTAGGCAACATCTTTTTTTTGTTTCTAAATATAGCCTGTCAATAAACATCTCACAAAGACGTGTAGCTATGGCAGCAGTTTCCAAGAGGCCCTTCTGGAGTCCTCCTGACTTTGCCCAAGAAAAAAAAGCGCTGAAGAGAAAAGCTTCAGTTTGAGTCACACTTGGTGTTCTTCTCCGGTGCAGGCAGGACGAGAAAAGTGCTCTCGTGGAGGTGGCAGTCGATCCTGTGAGCCCTCTCAGATTGCCTGACAGATAATCCATCACACAGTCAGTGTGTCTGACAGGAAGAGGTCTCAGTCAACTTTCTGTAGCGCTCACACGGGCCCTGTGAAGGACAATCACTCTTTTCAAGTCTCTCCTGGGACGATGTACACTTGAGTTTCATTAGAAGACTGCAGGTGGATGATTTGAGGAGTTTAAGTGTACGTGTACACTGATGTGCTCACCAAAAGCAAGAAAGAAGGCAGGGTTGTTCAAAAAGAAAATGGCAAGGAAACAAAAACAGATTTAAACGATATCATGTAGACTATATTTTTGGATACACATGAGGGCGTTTCTAGTGACTTTTTCGTTTTACAGTTACCATGGAATCAACAGTTTCTGAGCTCTGTCAAAATCCTGATTTATTGAACTACTGAAGAATGGAAAAATAATAAACGTAACATTTATACATTCTAAACGTAAAATTCTAAACATTTAAGAAAGAAGAGCTGAAAATATATGGTAGAAATCTTAAGAAACTAAATATCTTTAGACAACTGACACTTCAACACAAAGATGAGCTTTGGCCTCTGGATAGCTTAACCCCTTAATCCCCACTGTGTCATATTTGATACATGAGTTTTTGAGATGTCTACATCTGTGTCATCCTCCTGAACAGAAAAAGGGAGATCTATTACAAGAATGAAATTTTTTTTTCCCCTGTTGGAAAAAAAAGACTTGGCCATTGAAGAAGCAGCTTGATTTACTTGGAAAAACATTTGCACATTTGCAAAATATGTGCTCATGCAGTTAATAGTGTTAAGAAAACTGCAAACTGCTGAGGATCTGCTCTTCCTACTGACATCACATTTATTCTGGGAGTGTGCTTCCTTCAGAAATACCCGGGAAATTCAGCAGAATTTCTTTTTCCGCCTTACTTTCCACCTTTTGCCAGTTTTTCCTCCATCAGGATACTCCGATATGGGCCGGACAAATTCAACACACTAAAGTGTAGTTTTTAAAACATTTTTTGTTTAATGTCACAAATTGCATTTTCTCATTGTATTTCAGACATCCTGTCAACATCCATTCATGATTATAAAAAAGTACAATTCTTTGTTTTTAATTATTCATTTTCTCGACACCTATGATTCCTCATTAGCTTTCATTGGACAGGCACAGATTAGAGCAGATAATGGACGTCTCATAGTAGCACTTTATAAAGAAGACATGATGCACAAACTCAGAGTGAGTACACCATCTACTTCATTTGAAACACAGACGAGGCTTGGTAACCAACGTGGACGAAGTACGAAAGTGTTTACTGCTTCCATTCATCTCCGTTTCAGCAAGTACCACTGAATGATATCACAGCTTATGAATGGTGTGCGATAACATGGCAACAACTCAGTGGATGCCAGGGCTGGATGTGAAGATGGAAAATGTCTTTCCCACTTCATATTTTGCTAAAAAATAAAGACAAGAAAGCTAATGGAATGGACAAAGTGTCAATATGTTAGCATGAATATGTCAGTGGTTCTTTCTAACTAATGCACATTTTAATGATTAAAGAAACTGCAGCTGATCTGATCTGCAGAGAGGAAACCAGTGTAATGGCAGAATCCTGTAAGTGCTTGTGATCTGGATCTCAGTTGGCAATCAAAGTGAGAAATGCACGCAAAGACTCGCAAAGACTCGCAAAGACTCAAGGTTTTGGAGGTCTGCATGTGGAAGAAAAGGCTGATGGTGGTGTGCTGAGGCTGGAATGAGACGTCCTGCAGGATTCTCTATTTCTTGATAGCTGCCACCGCTTTCTTGGCGGCATCATCCAGGTCATCTGCTGCCAAGATGGGCAGGCCGCTCTCGGTCAGAATCCTTTTAGCCTCGTGGACATTGGTCCCTGAAAAAGGGCAAAAAAGGGGAAGAAATCCCCCCCCAAAAAACAGTGTTACAACAGGCGACAACAAACATTAGAAAAATGGCTAAACAAGGGTGAACCTGATCTGCCATCTGCACGGATGTTAAAAACCACACTGTGTGAAAGACGAAGAGTTCCTCTGGAGGAATCAATCCACACAGGCAGATGGAGTCATGGGTCAATGGTGGCACATGCAACTGCTGATCCGAACGTCGTAGAGTGTGAACAACGAGCAAAAGGGCAATTTGTGTGTGTGTGTGTGTGTGTCAGCTCCCCCGGCTGTAGCGAGGTCAGGGGTAGCAGGTGCTGGGTGATACGGTGATGCCTGTGCCCCCAGTAGGCCCGCAACCAACCAGAGAGAGAGAAAGAGGAAGACACTCGGAGATACTCTGTGCAACCCCGAGGCTCTACGCACTGAGCTGGCTGCCTCCCAGCACTGCACACCGCTCGGCCAAATGCGAGTCTGACAAGCCTGTCACAACACAGGGCAGGGGGCGCCTCAGCGGACGGAGGGACGCAGGAAGGGGAGTGGATGAGAGCAAGAGAGAGGGAGTGAATGAGGTGGTGGTGCTGGTGGGGCAGCAGAGCAAAAGGTCAAATGAAGCAAAATTGGCCCCTCGCAGCTAAAAACAACAAAAGCCAGCTGTTTATGTGGCATTTACTGATTCGACACATGAAGAACAAAAACTGAATCTGTCTGATGTGCCATCAAAGACTCAGCACACTGCTCAAACATTTAATTATCTTTTTTCCCCCCGAACTACTTACATTTGTTTGTTTTTCTTAATCAGATTTCAGATCTCATTTATTACATTTTGAGTGGACGCACCTCTCTGTGTCCGTGCTGAACACTTCAACTGACGATCGCTCCCGTCTGATCTTTTCTTACTTCAAATTCAAACCAATGAAAAACTCAAGTTATGCTGTGTTATTCAGACAAACAACACATTTAAAAAAGTCTCTAAAAAAGGTTCTGGAAAAACACTTTATAGTGACTTTAAACGTTACGTTTACTGTATATGGACAAAGGGTGTGTTGAGATTCTCTGTATATTAGTGTCTCCCTGTATTCGCCCGGGTGTTAAACGAGTCGATGTGCGAGTGTTTGTGCATGCTCAGACGCTCACAGGTTGACCTTCGCTCTCGTGGCTGCCGTGTAATTAAGACTGCATGATATGTGAATTCTCCGGAGGCCCGGCCACCCTGATCAATAGACCTTTCATGAGGAATTCTATTACCAGTGCCACTTAACGCCTAATATTTCATCTCTTTTGTCCAGCCGTATAATAAGTCATTCCAAACACATTTCTGCAGGCTCGCACTCCAAACAATCAATTCGGCAATGCAATTAATTAGAATAAGAGCAGGAAGAGCTCTTGCTCTGCTGCATAAACAGGGGATCGGATGTCTCAAGTCGTTTTCACATCAAACAGCGGATATTCTCCGTGCGACTGTGTGCGTCTCGATTCGGACACGCAGTACTGTATGCTTTACATTCAACAGGCTAATCCGCAAACTTCACTGAGATTGATGGATCTATGCTTCTGTACTGACAGGTTTATCTGTCACAAGATTAAAACAAAGCTGCAGCACAACAAAGTTCAAACGACACAAGATAAAACTGACGAAAGTGGAAGCAGCCATATGGGCGCCCAGCAAATACATAATGCAGCAGGTATTCTGAAAGACAAATATGCCTATGGAAAGTGTATACAGGAACAAAAAGTAAACATGCATTTTTTTCTCCCCAAGCTGATACATATTCATGACCAGCAGGAGTATTCAGTGTATTATTTAGATTGTGCAGCATCTGTGTGTTACTCAGGTCATGTGTGGTGGAAGAATCACACGTCGTGTTGGAGTCGTGCATTTGTGGGAGTCTTTTTCTGCACAAGTATGGGTGAGAGCTGACTGCAGTTCCACTGTGAGCAGTAGGGAGCACTGATAGCTCACGCCAGCAGCATCAGCAAGGGCTGAGCTCAGCTGGATACAGAATTACTAAGGCATGTGTGGAGTATATGTGTGTGAGTGTAGGGTATAACTGGAGAATGGGGATATGTGTGTGTTCACCTGCAGCCACTAGGTGCTGCCAGAGACCTACTCACAGTCTGGAGAGGGCATCAACGCACACAGTCAGCATGCACAAATAACCAAAGCAAGATGATTGTTTTAAATGACTTTCTATATGATTAAATATAAGAAATGAACATTAGAGAAGGCAAAAATATAGATTTCTGCAGAAATTCATCACAACACGTATTCTCCAGACCTAGATCATCAGTCCAACTGACCTGTTAATTACTGAGAAATGTCAAAGAACACTAACTTGCTAGTCTGAACTTTTTTCTTTATTAACAATCAACTCCTGAAAATTCAATCAAACCTTAATTCACTTTTCAAAAGTGCTCAATCCAATCAAAAACCGACAAACCCCCCCAAATTTAATTAGGTTCAATTCAACTTTATTTATATAGCACCAAATCATAACCACAGTGGCCTCCAGGAGCTTTATAATGTAATTTAAAGACCTTAGAGTAATACAGAGAAAACCCCAACAACCAGACAACCCCTTAGAGGAAGAAGGTTGTGACAGTGGGAAGGAAAAACTCCCTTTTAACAGGAAGAAACCTGGCAGAACCAGGCTCAGGGAGGGGCGGCCATCTGCCATGACTAGGTTGGGCTAAGGGGAGAAAGACCACACCAATGAGTGCGGAGGAGAGCCTGAGATTAATAATAACTAACGACTAAATACAGAGTAGCTTATGAACACACGCAGTGAAAGGAGGCGAGTGAAGAAAAAAACCCCACGCTCATCATGGGAATCCCCCAGCAGCCTAGGCCTATTGCAGAGTAACTTAAGGAGGATTCAGGGTCACCTGATCCAGCCCTCCCTATATGTTTGATCAAAAGGGAAAGTTTTAAGCCTAATCTTAACACTAGATAATCCATAATCCAAACTGGGAGCTGATTCCACAGAAGAGAAGCCTGAAAACTGAACACTAGAAACTGCAAATAAACCCGCAGTCTGAGACTAAAGTGCTCTAATGGGGCAAAATGGTACAGTGAGGTCTTTAATATAAGTGAAGAGATACGTGAAGAGAAGGATTTTAAATTAGATTCAGCATTTAACAAAGAAAACAACATAAGAGCATTCAGCAGGTGGCAAGCATCACAGCACAATATTTTCACATCTATATGGCAATTAACTAGCGTACCTGTGACTACTGTGGAAAATGACGCTTTAACGTGTGACTTACAGGCCACTAGGCTTCAGTGGGATAATAAGGGTTGGTGCTGTGCCAAAGATTTGTGCTGGAGCTTTCTTGATGCTGCAAATCCTACATTTGTGAGCAGCTCTGTCCTAACAAGCTGTGCTTAGCGTTGCTGTCATCTGAGAGAAGGACACGTTGCTGTAGAGTCACACATACAAAGAAAGTCTGAAGCTGTAAAGGTTCCTTATATGTCAAGGACACGATAAAGACTGTTTCCTTAGCAGGAGAAGATAAGGGAAACAAAAAGATGTAGAGTTTGATAAATGAACTCTTTCGCCTGCTGTTGATAAAATCTTTGCCACAACAAAAAATGGCAACCCCTTCACCTTCTCTCACAGTCAAGCCAACCGGTTAATTAATCATGTGGTGACTGAGTGATTGTCAGTGTAAGGCTGTGTGTGTGTCTGGATATTTCTTTTCCCCTTTAAATATCATAATTGTCATTAATACATGGCAATTAGACGGGCAGCTTCTGCAAGACTGTCCACTGACAGTTTTTCTTCAGGTTTCCTGAGTTGGTGGCTTGTCTGCACTGCTGGTGAATTATGGTTTGCTTCACACTAGAAAGTGATTAGTTCCCCACGTAATAATCTCCTGGCTGTCAATGAGAGCTTTTGATGTGTCACACTAACATAATTCCCACCATCTGTCAGCTGTCTGAAGGTACTGGGGTACGCTGTAAAAGAAGTTCTTAGAGGAGTTATTTATTTATTTAAATTAGACACAAGCTCGGTACAAATAAAGCAAATAATTATGTATGTAAACTGTATGTATGTCATTGCAGTTCTCAGGAAATCTCATGGCAAACCAAAAGTTAACATTTTAGTCTGTTTTTGTTTCGTGCCACTGTCCTAACGTACATTATAATCTTTTGTGTTGGGAATCTGTGTAAATGTCACAATGCTACAGTCCAGTAACTCACTTAGTAAAAGCAGTTTAAAACAAAGAAGGGCGCTCTGCCTCAAGACCAGCCGGATGAACCACAGGCAGCTGATATATACACCCTCCCCCCAAAAGAAACCTATTTAACTGACTGCATGTTGTCATACTCACTCGACTCTTAACCCAGCCCCAACCAGACAGTCTACATCAGGGGTCGGCAATCCTGGGCACGCGTGCCACAGTTGGCACGCGAAGGGTTAACTGATGGCACAACCATAGCTGGACTGGCCATCGGGCATTTGCTCGGTATGCTGACTTTTTACAGTCAGTTACAATAACTCGTACTGCGTGCTAGCTAGTATGACAGAGTTTATATACAGCTGGGTGGGTGCTATGATGTTACTGATAGTGAACTTTATTTTGTTCATAAGGTTAGTTAGTAGAGTTGCCAACCGTCCCGTAAAAAGACGGAATCGTCCCGCATTCAGAGAAAATATTACGCGTTTCGTATTGAGCTGAAAAGGAACAGTTTGTCCCGAACTTCAGCTAGAATGGAAAAAAAAAGACACAAAGCTGGAGTTATTCTGTTGTTACGCTGCACAGCTGCCTCTTCTTCTCTCATTCTCTCCTGTTGCTACTTTAATCATGAAACTGATCAATGATCAGCTGATCGGCTTTTCTCTCGTGTTTGTTTATCTTCCACTTTGCGCCAGAAAGA